CTCATAGCTTACTGTTGTTTTTACAAGGTTAGAAATAACAATCGTTTTACAGTATCTGTAACCAGAAAGTAGACATTTTGATTTCAAAACTTTTATGCTAATACTTATTTATTTTATACTTGCAGGACTGGTTCGCATTTTTAGGTAACGGTTCCAGTTTCAATTTTACGAAGACAGGAGAAGTAACTTTACCCAACATTGGCAAACCATATGACAACTATGGATTCTGTCAAGTATCGTACTCTTTTAAGAATGTTATAGTTTTTGTGCACGCCTTGCGTGCCTGTCTTTTTTTAGGAATGATGGGATTGGAAACCTATGTGCTTCGCGGTCAAAAGTTTTCGTTATTCGTGTTTGTGGATTTTGTGAGCGTTTCATCGAATTCAAGCCTGAGGTTATCAAACGGCGACGTAAAGGCCTTTTATCCCTTTCTATATAATTTGACATGTGGCACTTGGTTACCGTCATATTTAGAACAGATTTTGCTAAGGTTTGAACAATGTCTGATCGAAATCCCATGGAAAGTCACAGCTTTGTTTTCACACTAAATGTCAAAACAAAATAATATTCTGTATTTGAAAAAAATAACTAGAGAGATTTCGAGACTCTTGACAATAAAACACCGGTTCCCTCATTTAGCTATTGACGGTTTTTTTTCAGTCGATCGAGGAAATCCAAACTCACCGAGATGTGTTAGAGGTTGCGCTCATGATAGGGTTTCGAAATGACTTCTAGTACTACATTCTGCCGTAGCGTGTACATTTTTTCATGTTGACAAATTGACTGAATGTTACACTCTTTTAACTGTTTTAACAGAATATCAACTACAACACCACCTTCTACGCACTTCCTGTGGTCCTGGTTTCCGTTCAGCACTATTACGACCTCAACAAGAAAAACATCATTCTACCAGAAAATAATATTGTCACAGCATGGGTGGAGGTATGCTAGGTGATACTTTTCTCCAGTTCTTCGCTTATTTTTAATTGTTGAGCATGCGGTGCAAAGTCAACTTCATCAGAGCGACTTCTGTTCCATTTCAGGAAGTTGGACTGAAATCCATTATGATTTGTGTCAGAGACTTGAGTGGAATGGGGACAAAACACGATCCTCTGTCGGTCAATTACGTTGTCACTGGAGGTGAGTGCGTTACAGGCAAAATCAACGCTTCGATGAC